CTGATACACGTTGCAAGATCCCTGTACCGTTATTCATTTTAACCAGTTTTTACTGTACCTCTGGGAAGGCCGTCTCACTCCATCCTTCACTTGAGCAGTCCAATAATTACCACATTCACTAAAAGTAATTAGCTATCAAGTAAAATGAAATCCATCTGCCCATGTTCCCGTAGAAAAATACATTTACGTTGAATAAAGAAGGTGATAAGCTAATTAAATAGCAATAGTGAATGACCAGTGAAGACACCAAAAAACAAATAGCAGCGAAGTCACAGCTATTCATTACGAGGACCAACTGTAGGCATGATTTCATTTAGAAAGGGTGCAGGTTAAGCTATTCATTACCATCCTGACAACTTGGCTAACAGAGGACTTGATTGGAACTGCATACATTAACAGTCAACTTTACCACCCCCAAAACGTGCTCCTTCCAAGCCTTCTTGTAGTTAGCAAAAATGATTCTCACCTCATTAGAGAAGAGAAACCATGCTCATTAGGCAAACACATGTGGGGTAGAGTAGGACTCCTAGAGTAATGAACGAGACCTTTGCTGGTTTCAAGTATCCAATAGACTGTAATAATATTAGCTGGTAATAACCTAGTACAAAGCCATTTTTATGAACTGGATAGTTGGCTGGGAAACGGAAGGACAGTTCAAGAGACAAAAGGGAATTGTAAAAGCCTGTGCCTTTCTTGAAGATATTTTTTAGAGACAAATAAAGTTGATTGCAAAAAGAACGAATAGGAAGCCCAATGTGCAACTGATCGTAGTTCACTCCTGCACATGGGAAGGCCCACTCCAAAAGGTCACAACAAGAACTGTAATGGAGTCTTGATAAGCTGATGGAAGAATTAACCAGGAGATAGTGAGTAAATTTATCCAATAGTGCAAATCTGTAGAGAAAACGGGCATAAGACTTAATGGAACTATCATTTTAATACTGGTTAAGACCCACACTATATGCCATATGTAGATGTTGGGAGAAAAAAAATGAGCCAAGTGTCACAGAAACTGCATGCTTCTTTATCTTCAGGCAGAAAAATGAACTTTTGTTTCTTAATTGGTCTTAACCCAGCAGAGAAAGCTTTGCTAAGGTTTGACATTCAAGATCTTGTGAAGTCCTCAACATCAGTCTTTCCTTGACTGTTACTATTATCACATGACACCCAGTTAGCCTAGCTTTTTACTACCTGCTCATCTTTTTAAACTTACCACACCCAACATTTCTCTGCCATTCTTTAGAATAATTTTTATAGTCGCAATAGTGGATTACATGCAGTGTTAACAGCGGTAATCTCTAAGGGGTCTCTATTATAATAGAGGACAGTCTCCCAACATTCTCAATGGCAAAGAGGGACAGATGCAAAGAAGTCCAATTTCTAAGTGAGAAAATCGGGACCTAGAGATGTTAGGTACTTGACAGAGAGAAATCTGTGATCTAGTGCATGATGGCTTGGTAGAGAGTCAACTTTATAGCTGCCACTCAAAATTATCTTCCAGTCTAATTCAATCCATTTAGAAAATAATAATTCAAATATTCAAAATGAAAGTAAAAGGGGGAACCAGCAGTTAGCGTAATGGCTATGTCGCTGGACTCCCCCGTAGTCGACCATGGTTCGCGTCCTGGACCCGGTGGCTTAAAACTCACGCCGGGCGTGTGTGCATGCGTGCCCAAGATCCCGAGAGGAGAATGGAGGAGAAGGGATTGCGGAGTGACCATCCCCCCTGGTCTCTCTCTGTCTGGCGAGCGCACGCTATAACAAAAATCTCTCAAAAAAAAAAAAGAAAGTAAAAGGGAAAAATGTTGAAAATATTCTATTTACAGGGGAAACTGATAGCAAGGATACACATTTTACTGAAGAATGGGTCACAGATTTTAAATAAATTTAAGTAAAAGTGACTTAAGCTTTGCAAGGGTGTAAACTCCCTGATACTTAATCCAACTTGGTAATAGATCACATTGATGGTGGAATTCAGACTTCACCCTAGGGAAAACTGTAAAGTACTGAAGTTGTTCTGAGGGACCCACACCCTCAACTTCCTTATCTTTATTCTTATCCTACTATTATCTTCTTTCCATTTGGCTCTTTGCAAGAAAGAATGAAAGAAAGAAGTACATTATTATTTAAAAGGCTCAGTAGATATCAGATTACATCATTTTTGAGGTTTCTTCGACCAAGCCATTCTGATTTCATATTTGAGCTATTTTCTATTTAACAGAGGATAATGTCTTACACCAAAGGAATTACTATCTAAGTATAAAAGTTCAGGCCTGAGTGATTTAGGTGGGGGAGGCTGCACCTGTATCGTTCGAATGATGCTATATGGATTGGGAGTTTGTTTTGCCTGATCACAAAACCCACCTTCATTCTAGGCCTAGCACAACAGTACAAACTGATATTCAATAATTCCTCCCTTTTCCAGGGAGTCCTTCTCCCTCTTCTACTCTTAACCAAAGGAAATGACTGGTTTGCCAATCTCTCTGGTATGAGAATTACAAAAAAAATTTTAGGAAACTGAGACATTTACAAAATAACAAGTGTAGTTAGAAAGTAGGATAGGATGGATCAACAGCAGTTGATTCAGGCTTTTCTATAAGATATTGTCTACAAGCTCCTATCTTGAGATCATAAAGGAGCCATGGAAGATTTTAGAAGGAAGCAAAGGGAATCCTACATTATAGTGAAAGAGTATCAGGAATTTTCAGAAATTCAATATCTTGAGGAATCAACTGAGTTAAATAATCAGCTAAATAAAATTTTTAGAAAAAAAGATAAAGAATAAAAGAAATAAGTGTATAAAAATGTGCAGTTGGGGCCAGCAGGTGGCTTGGTGGTTAAGGGCGTTGGACTCCTATATGACCGACAGTGGCTTGAGTCCCGGACATGGCGGCTGGCTTTCTCTCTCTCTTTCTCTCTCTCGCTCTCATTCTGTCCCTCTCTGGTCAAATTAAAATAAATAAATTTAAATAAAATAATTCTTTTTCTAAAAAAATTGCAGTAAAAAAATTTAGTACCCAGAAATCCATAAATAGAAGAGAAAAACTGAAAGTTGTCATGATATAGAATGAGTGATAGTAACCCCAAACTACATGCATATCAAAATTTTATGTCTTTATGAAGTTAAAAATGCTACGGATACATTGGTTCCCATCTGCCAACTCCTACTCCTATTCTTAGAAATATTTTACTTAAGGATAACAACATTTTCTGTGAAAAAAAATTCTTCCTACCATCATTTTGTTTGGTTTTATTTTCCTGAAATAACTGTTATTTTGATCTAGTGCATGATGGCTTGGTAGAGAGTCAACTTTATAGCTGCCACTCAAAATTATCTTCCAGTCTAATTCAATCCATTTAGAAAATAATAATTCAAATATTCAAAATGAAAGTAAAAGGGGGAACCAGCAGTTAGCGTAATGGCTATGTCGCTGGACTCCCCCGTAGTCGACCATGGTTCGCGTCCTGGACCCGGTGGCTTAAAACTCACGCCGGGCGTGTGTGCATGCGTGCCCAAGATCCCGAGAGGAGAATGGAGGAGAAGGGATTGCGGAGTGACCATCCCCCCTGGTCTCTCTCTGTCTGGCGAGCGCACGCTATAACAAAAATCTCTCAAAAAAAAAAAAGAAAGTAAAAGGGAAAAATGTTGAAAATATTCTATTTACAGGGGAAACTGATAGCAAGGATACACATTTTACTGAAGAATGGGTCACAGATTTTAAATAAATTTAAGTAAAAGTGACTTAAGCTTTGCAAGGGTGTAAACTCCCTGATACTTAATCCAACTTGGTAATAGATCACATTGATGGTGGAATTCAGACTTCACCCTAGGGAAAACTGTAAAGTACTGAAGTTGTTCTGAGGGACCCACACCCTCAACTTCCTTATCTTTATTCTTATCCTACTATTATCTTCTTTCCATTTGGCTCTTTGCAAGAAAGAATGAAAGAAAGAAGTACATTATTATTTAAAAGGCTCAGTAGATATCAGATTACATCATTTTTGAGGTTTCTTCGACCAAGCCATTCTGATTTCATATTTGAGCTATTTTCTATTTAACAGAGGATAATGTCTTACACCAAAGGAATTACTATCTAAGTATAAAAGTTCAGGCCTGAGTGATTTAGGTGGGGGAGGCTGCACCTGTATCGTTCGAATGATGCTATATGGATTGGGAGTTTGTTTTGCCTGATCACAAAACCCACCTTCATTCTAGGCCTAGCACAACAGTACAAACTGATATTCAATAATTCCTCCCTTTTCCAGGGAGTCCTTCTCCCTCTTCTACTCTTAACCAAAGGAAATGACTGGTTTGCCAATCTCTCTGGTATGAGAATTACAAAAAAAATTTTAGGAAACTGAGACATTTACAAAATAACAAGTGTAGTTAGAAAGTAGGATAGGATGGATCAACAGCAGTTGATTCAGGCTTTTCTATAAGATATTGTCTACAAGCTCCTATCTTGAGATCATAAAGGAGCCATGGAAGATTTTAGAAGGAAGCAAAGGGAATCCTACATTATAGTGAAAGAGTATCAGGAATTTTCAGAAATTCAATATCTTGAGGAATCAACTGAGTTAAATAATCAGCTAAATAAAATTTTTAGAAAAAAAGATAAAGAATAAAAGAAATAAGTGTATAAAAATGTGCAGTTGGGGCCAGCAG